TTTATTTATTCTGTGACAATTTCACACACACACACACACACACACACACACACACACACTGTACCTTGATTATATCCATCACCAACTCTTCCCTCCAGCTCCCCCAGGACCTCGCCCAGACACATGCTCCTCCCACCTTCTTGTCCTTTTTTGTTCTGTTTTGTTTAAATGACCCACCTAGTCCAGTTAATGCTTTCATGAACATGGGCATCCTACAAGTAGACATATCCCAGAAGGAGAGTGGCACCCACCCCCACTTCCCTAACAACCATCAGTTCAGTAGGTCCTCAGCTGAGGGTTGAACCTCATGAATGGCTCCTCCATCCATGTTGGAATTATTGACTTGATCTTGTGCAGGTAACTGTAGTTGCTGTGGGCTCTTAAGTGTACTAGCCATGTCATGTCCAGAAGACAGCGTTTCATAACACCTCCTCCCTGTCCTCCAGCTTTTATATTTTTTCCATCACTTCTTCCTGTATGACCCCTGCACTTTGCTGGGGGGTTCTTATTATATATAGCCCATTTAGGGCTAAACACTCAACAGACCCTTATTTTCAGCATTTTTACCTGTTACAGGCCTCTGCATTGACTATTGCCCACTGCAAAAAGAAGCTTTTCTAATCAGGGTTGAGAGCAACGCTAATCTGTGGGTCTAAACATAAATATTTAGAAGGTGGTTTGACAGTTTAGCAAAACAACAGTAATAGGTTCTCCTGCCTCCTAGGCCAGTGTCCTCCCAATTTATAAACCTCCAGGTTTACAGTAGTACTCTTCATTCTTTTTCATGCAGATTTCTTATAATTTGAGGCAACACTTAAGCATATTTTTATATTTTGAATTAGTTTGTGGCTTTCCTGGCTATATAACAATCTTGGATTACTTTCTGCACAACAAAAGCACAGTCAAGTTGAAGGTAGTGTTCAGCAGCATGGCAGTGTATTTTATAATCCCAACATTTTGGGAGACTGAGGCAAGAAGATTGCAAGTTTGAGACCAGCATGGCTGGGAGGGGAGTGTGTGTGTGTGTGTGTGTGTGTGTGTGTGTGTGTGTGTGTGTATTAGACTGTCTCAAAAAAAAAAAAGGTGTAGTCTTTCAGTCCTTACATACTTATTAAATTTTCTTCTTCTTTGAATCAGGGTCTCATGTAGCCCAGGCCCTTTGAATCTTGATCCTCCTGTCTTACCTCCCAGGTGCTGGGATTGCAGTCATGTGCCACCACACGAGGCTTGTAATTTATTTTAATAAAGCCATAAACTTGGCTCTAAAAAATATACACACAGCCAGCGTGGTGGCACACCCCTTTAGTCCCATCAGAGGCAGGCAAATCTCTGTGTGTTCAAGGCCAGCCTGGTCTACAAAGTGAGTTCAAGACCAGCTGGGGCTACAGGCAGACCCTGTCTCAAAAAGACCAAAAAAAAAAAAAAAAAAAAAAAAAAAAAAAAAAAAAAAGTAAACACATATCAAGTTAGGGGCACATGCCTGTAATTTTAGCACTTGTGAAATGAAGGCAGGAGCATCATCTTCAGCTACACACTGAGTTTGAGGCCAGCTTATATTATGTGAAATCCTAGCTCAGTACACCAAAAATAAAGTTTTTTTAAGCTAAATAAATGGATAAGTAAATGAATAGAATATCTATAATGAACCATAGATGGCAAATTAGAAATAGAGGTATAGTCTTTTAAAAAAAGGGGAGGGGCATGGGGGCTGGAGAGATGGCTCAGTGGTTAAGAGTACTAGCTACTCTTGTAGAGGACCAGAGTGTGATTCCTGGCACCCACATGGCAGCTAGCAGCTGTCTGTAACTCTAGTTCCAAGAGATCTGGTGCCATCTTCTGGCCTCTTCAGGCATTGCATGATACAGGTGCACTTGTATACATGCAAAAGCACTCAAAATAAAAATAATAAATATTTTTTAACTTTAAAAAAATTATTGAGAGTTTTATACATGCATATAAGGTGTTTTGATCAAATCCATGCCCACACTCTCCCCTCCAATTCCTCCCATGTCTCCCCATCATTTTTTTCTGACAACCTCATGTACTTTTTCTCTTTTTTTTAAAATGGGCCTTTTTGCTACTCTTAACATTCCCTCCTCTGAAGAGGTAACCCTACAGTCTTTTAAGAACTAGATAAAAGCTCCCAAATACTTTTGAATTTTTTGGCCTTTGAAACAGGGTATGTTGCTAAGAGGCCCAAGGACATTTTGACTTTTAGCCAAGAAACTGGCTGCTTTTCTTTGGGGTCTTTTTACCTTAACTGCCAAGCCAATTCCTACCTCCTATTCTTATCACACTATCCTCTGAAGAGCTTACCCATATTGCCGATAGGGAATTGGGACTCAGACCACTCTGGCTTCTTCCATGCTGAACAAGGATGCAGGGTGAGGTAGTTGGTGTACCCCTTCATTGAGTCTTATCTAAAAGACTCCCAAATAGTATAACTCTTTTTTAAAAAAAAAAATATTTCTTTTTTTTTTTTTTAATGTGTATGAGTGTATTGCCTGCATGTATGTGAGTGCACCAGTGTCATGCAATGTCGCGGAGGTCAGAAGAGGGCTTCAAATTCCCCTGGAGTTAAATATGGTTCGTAGCTGCCATGTGGGTACTGGGAATTGAACCTGGGTCCTCTGCAAGAGCAGTCAATGCTCTTAACCGCAGAGCCATCTCTTCAGTCCCTCAATTGCATAACTCTTATATGTAGGGAGAAAAGAAAGTCCTTGAGTGGTGAATAGGAGATGTGAAGGAGAAGTAAAAGCAAAAGCAAGAGTAATTAGCATTACAAGTTCTATTCAGGGATCCAGAAAAAAGTCAGAACAGGGCAAATTTCACATGTTCATATGAGTCTGTTGGAATTTCTTGATGAGAGCTTCCAAAAGCATCCCTCTATTGGGTTCCTCATTTTTTTTTTGTCTGCCAAGGCTGGACTCGAGAGTGATGGACTCAGGATTTGTTTTCAGGCACTTTGATAACGGTTGGAGAGGCTAGAATCAGTATCATTTTAGAGTAGTGAGTTGTTTCCCTCAGCTGCAGGTGGGCACTACAGTATTGTAGGCCAAGATTTAAAGTCCTACACCTGAATAGCACTGTCCTGTTAGGAACAAAATCATCAAAGTCAGCCCAAATAAACCAATTTATTTTTACTCTTCAGGTCATTTGAGGATCTGTTCCTCAGGGGTCACATGGGCTTGGGAGGAGCCCCTGGCTCCTTTCTTTCACCAGTTCCATCTATATAAAGATAAGTCAAAAGTCCTGCTTGACTGTGGCTGGCTTCATTTGGAAGCAGTGGAGGAAATGTTTACTCTGAGTTGACCCTCCTCTTTATAGACTGGACACTGGTTCAAGTCCATCTGGTTGGGTCTCCATGGCCTCCCTGAACAAGACAGCAGGTGACTTACCACAGTTACAGTACATTTTGAGAGATGCTCCATAGTCGAACTTGGAGGGCAAGGAACAAAAAACTGTCCTTTAAGTCCCTCTGACCAGATTAGTATAGGCATCAAAGTATTGCTGTTAAACATCCAAGAAGATTAGTTCCACCAGTGTGGTTAAATAAAATATTTTTAAAAGAAGCTGGGTGTGGCAGCATACACCTTTAATCCCACCACTTGGGAGGTAAAAGTAGGTGAATCTCTGTGAGTTCCAGGCCAGCCAGAGCTACACTAGGCATATATTAATACTCAGTTGACATACAAATAATATGTTTTCTTGGGGCTGGAGAGATGACTCAGCAGAGGACTCAGGTTGAGTTCCCAGCACCCACATGGTAGCTAACAACCATCCTTAACTCCAGTTCCAGGGAAACCGACCCCTTCTTCTTGCTTCTGCAGGCACCAGGCACACACATGGTACACTTACAGACATGGAGGCAAAACACTTATTTAAACACATAAAATAAAAATAAAGTCTTCAAGGCCAGTCTGGTCTACATAGCGAGTTCTAGGACAGCTGGGGCTACAGGGAGACATAAATAAATAATAAAGTCTTCTAAAAAATGGTATGTTTTCTTAGATGAAGTTGTAAATTTAACTATTCTCCAGTTAGTAATTCATCTTCCTACTTCTACTTTTTTTGGGGGGCCAGGGGGAGTGGTTGTATTTTTGAGATAGCGCCCCCCCCATAACTGCAGCTGACCTGGAATTTGCTATGTAGACCAGGCTAGCCTTGCTCTTACAGAGATCCACCAGCCTCTGTCTCCTGAGTGCTTGGATTAAAGACTTGTGCCACCATGCCTGACAGTTCATCTTCCTATTTCAAAGGAAAGAAAAACCTAATAACTTTAGTTATGCTCCAAGAATACCAACTTGTTTGTGTACCTGTAGAGGACACCTTAGTGATAAACTTTTAAAGTTTCTTTGAGATGCTTGATTTAAAGTTTTTTTTAAATGATTATGGGATATATGGTACAGGTGGAGGAATATTAACCAAAAAATGATGCATTGTTTTTTGCTTATTTGAAACTGAATTCTAAGTGTTAACTTTATAATGAATAAAAATTGCTAAGCATGTATGCTGGTCATTCTGCAAGTTGTTTCTTTGCAGCCCTATCCAGAATTTACTATTTAAATAGCTTCAACTGCTTAGTGTCCTGGTGGAACCCAAAGGGCAATCACAGTCCCTATACTAGAAGTACTTGCTCATTTACTTATGATCTCACTTTCAAGCAGGTGACAACATTGAGTAAGGAGTGGTTTGTCCACTGTCAGCACTGAGACTGGGTTTTAATTTAATATTTGTTCTTTTCACTTGTTGTTTCCTTGCTAGCAACAGACGAAGTCCACACACTGGGGGCTTTTTTGGTTGTTTTTTGTTGTTGTTGTTTTGTTTTGATTTGGTTTGGTTTGGTTTGAACTAAAATTTGATTCCTGGTATAAATACACAAAGAATTAGTAAGCAGAGCCTTTCTAGTGCAGAAGGGGTTCTGAAGGGATTACTTGGTTATAAAGCTCTTTCTGCCTTAATAACTGCAAACATAATGTGTGATCTGTCTTCCCTCTCAGAGCAAAGCCGAAGAGATGATTTGGAAGCCCTAGGCCATATGTTCATGTATTTCCTCCGTGGCAGCCTACCCTGGCAAGGACTCAAGGTATCCTTGAAAGTGCTCAGTGGAGGGAGGGCTTTGTCTCTCTGCTCAGTTGTTAATGAAAGGACTGCTAGCTTGTTGTCTCTAAGAAGCACAAAGGGGAAGGTTGACTTCAGCGATGAGAAGCAGGGATGAGTTATATTAGTTCACATTGTAAGTGCTCACCTGGGCTTTGAGAGCTCTGGTTTGTTCACATTTGGCTTCTTTGCCAAATAAAGAATAATCCTTGCTGCTTTGTGTTTTTGGTGATCTCTTCCCTGTTCCCTCCCTGCCTTGCCAGTGCTGCTTTCTCTGTGTTGGTGTCCCTCCTCTACTGTCATTATGTAGCAGGAGTGTTCCCAGGGTGTCAGGGAATTTCTGAAACAAATTGATGACAGCAGCTGCTGCACATTTTACCAGAAAAGTCAGCAGGGTTTTTCCAGGCTCCAAAGGGGAAAAGGAAAATATTTGTTTATCCTACATAAGCAAAGGACTCACCTGAATTAAAATGAAAAAAAAAAAAAGATTTCACATTGGTGTTCAAATTCATTATTGAATAAATTTCTTTTCAAATAATAGCTATTTATTGCAAACGTGTAGTTTTCATTTAATCCCAGCACTCTGGAGGTAGAGGCAGGCAGATGTCTGTGAGTTCAAGGCCAGTCTGGTCTACATAGTAAGTTCCAGGCCAGCTGGGAAACCCTGTCTCAAAAAATAAGAAGAAACAAACAAAAAAAGCATTATAAGTACTCTGTGACTGTTAGAATGGGAAGTGTAAACTTCTAGCCCTTCTTAAGTCCCTTTAGGTAGTTAAGTGTGAAGCATACTTTTAGTTGTAATTTATTTCAACATATTAGCATGGAAAGAAACTTAATCTGTGGCTTGGGGTATTCCTACACCCCCTCCCTCTAGAAGGGCAAAATGATTCATTTTCCTGTGCTTTCCATGGCATTGTTGTAGAAAGTAAGGTCGCCTGTACCCATTCATTCTGTGACTGAACCTAGTGCCTTATACATGCCAGGCTAATGCTCTTTCTCCGATCTACAGCCAGAGCCTCCTGTTCTTTGGTAATTTTTTTCTTTGCCCTTAAATTCTTCTCCTGACAGCTCTCACCCATAATCTTCTAGTCATATGTGTCTTCTCATTGATAGTAACAGGTTTCAAATAGTTAGTTATACATCCTACTTGCTAATCATAGAGCCAAACAGTTCATTAATATCAAGCATTAGTGCTTGCTTGAAACGTTCATGGACCATGAGACCACCATTTTAGTGGTAGTAGTGGATTTAGAATCTCTCCAACTTACTTAGTTCACTGTTGCTTAAATCTGAATGCAGCAGACTAGCTAGAGAATAATGAAGTCTGCAAAGTGCAGGAACTCCCTAGTTACAGTCCTGAATATGCCATGCTTGGGCTGCTTTGGACCACTGACATACACTGGTCTATTATCAGTGCCTTTTCTGTACTGATAACTTTATTTTCTGTCCAGAAAGCCCCCCTCAAACCACTAAGCTACATCTTCAACCTTGGAAACATATGATTTAAAAGATGTTTTATTTCTTGTCTGTCTTTTACCTTGGCAATATGTATATAAGAGGACTGTATCTGTTTCCTTCACTTGAGTAAGACAGTGCTTTTAATCCTATTTTAGAAATGATCTATTGAACTTTTAGTGACCATGGGAGATTTTGAAAATTTGAAAACACTGCTGCATAATGTTTTTATTTTCTTATCCTATCTGTTCATCTAATCTCAGACTATTAAACATATTTGCAAGTGAAACTTTCTAGGACTCAGCAGATCTTTGTTTATATCTAAACACACCATCTCTATACATTATTATTTGTTAGAAAAAATTGAGATCCACTAACAAATCCTGCCAATTTGAATGAAAATAACCATCGTGAGGACTCAAGGTGTGGCTCAGTGATTAAGAGCTCACATTCTTCTTGTAGAGCACCTGATTTCATTTCCCATTTGCCACATCAAGTGACACACAACTACCTGTAACTCCTGCTCCAAGGAACTGACACTTTCTTTGGGCCTCTGCAGGTACCTGCACTCGTGTGGCTATAACCACACAGACATACATATATTTACACATATTCACATAATGAAATATAGAAAATCTTAGAAAATAACTATTGTGTCTGAAAACATTAACCTCTTATTTAACATGTCTTTCTAGGTAACTTCCTTTTCTTTACTTTCTACAGGCTGATACATTAAAAGAGAGATATCAAAAAATTGGTGATACCAAAAGGAATACTCCTATTGAAGTGCTTTGTGAGAACTTTCCAGGTAGGAGGCTAGAAGGATAATCTAGCCCATGTGGTCCATAAATAAAATAGTGTTAGGAAATCTGTACAAATATTTGTGTGGCTAGAACTTACCCCTGTGAGAGGCATTCGGCTAACAAGCATGGATTTTTACCTCTTTCCTAACAGAGGAGATGGCAACCTACCTTCGCTATGTCAGGCGATTAGACTTCTTTGAAAAACCTGATTATGAATATTTACGGACCCTTTTCACGGATCTTTTTGAAAGGAAAGGCTACACCTTTGACTATGCCTATGATTGGGTTGGAAGGCCTATCGTAAGTATCCTTTTTTTTTTTTTTTTTTTGTAAGACAGAGTCTCCCTGTAGCCCCAGCTGCCCTGGAACTGGCTATAGAGACCAGGTTGGACTCATAGAGTCCACCTGCCTCTGCCTCCCTGGTGCTGGGATTAAAGGTATGAGTCACCATGCCTGGCCGGGCCGTAAGTATCCTTTTTTTTTTTTTTTTAAATATTTATTATTTTCAGGGCTGGAGAGATGGCTCAGTGGTTAAGAGCACTGACTGCTCTTGCAGAGGGCCGGGGTTCGATTCCCAGCACCCACATGGCGGCTACGAACCGTCCTCAACTCCAGTTCCAGGGGAATCCGAAGCCCTCTCCTGACTTCCACAGCACTGCATGACATGGGTGCACTCACATACATGCAGGCAATACACTCATACACTTAATAATAATAATAAAATATTTTAAATATTTTTATTTTACACTTATACACTTAAAATAATAAAAATAATAATAATAAAAATTTTAAATATTTATTTTTCTGTGTATGATTGTATTGCCTGCGTGTATGTGAGTGCACCCGTGTCGTGCAACAGAGGTCAGGAGAGGGCTTTGGATTCCCCTGGAGATGGAGTTAAGGACGGTTCGTAGCCTCCATGTGGGTGCTGGGAATTGAACCCCGGTCCTCTGCAGAGCAGTCAGTGCTCTTAACTGCTGAGCCATCTCTCCAGCCCCAAGTATCCTTTTTTTTTTTTTTTTTTTTGTCTTTTTGAAGCAGGGTCTCCCTGTAGCCCCAGCTGTCCTGGAACTTACTATGTAGACCAGGCTGGCCTTGAACTCACAGAGATCCGCCTGCCTCTGCCTCCCAAGTGCTGGAACTACAGGCATGTTCCACCATGCCTGGCTTCAAGTATCCTTTTTTAAAAAAAGAAATAAATTACTTCCTTTCTCACTAGCACTGTCCCACCTTTCTACTCGTTCTTTCTGCTTAAATCTTTGGGGGGGAAATTCTTTGCACTTTACCAAACTTTTCAAAGTACCACCAATAGATTGCTCTAGTGAGTTTCACCTTTTTAAGATTATAACTTGTAGCCCCTTGAATACTAGAATTTAAGCCACTTTTTGCACATTTTTTTATATGATTCTCAAGTTTGTGCTGTCTGCTATGAAGTCTTAGCTTCTTTAACAGTGGAGCCCAGCCCCATAGAAATGGATTCACTGTTCCAACCAGAGGTCCATAGTACCCGAGAGTGTGCTAACAGATATGTTATCAAACAGTTTTTGACTTTCTAAGGTGTCCTACTCTCCAGTGAATTGTTGAGGACCAGACTACATTCCCTTTTGTAAATGACCGAACTGGGAAACAAGATAACTTGAAAGAAAAAGAATTATTCCTGCTCTATAAGAATTAAAATGATATTGTCCTTTGCAGAAGTATTGTTAAACTTCTCCCCATTTGACTTTTATTTTCTAGCCTACTCCAGTAGGGTCAGTTCATGTAGATTCTGGCGCTTCTGCAATAACACGAGAAAGTCACACACATAGAGATCGGCCATCACAACAACAGCCTCTTCGAAACCAGGTATGTGTTAGTCCTTTGTTATTTTAGATATTGCCCTTCATAGCTACTGTTAAAATCCAAATTCTCCTTCTTTGTGTTAGTGTTTATATTACAGTTAAGGAGTACAGTGATACTGATTTAGTGTGACACTCCAGCATCTCTCAGGACATGTGTAAATGCGTTAAGATATAGCAAGGTGCCTTATGTGAGGCATGTAGTCTAAAGAATCTGGGCTTTTTTGCTTTCTGTTTTCAGTGGTGCTAGTGATCGAATACAGAACATTGTGAATACTGTGGATGCTCTCTACCGCTGAACTATGTCTCTAGTCCTCTTACTCTGCTTATTCATAGAATAGATTTTATTATTTTATTTATTTATTTACTTGATTTTTTTTTTGAGACAGGGTCTCCCGTAGCTGCAGCTGGCCCATATAGACTAGGCTGGCCTTGAACTCACAGAGATCTGCCACCTCTGCCTCCTGAGTGCTGGGATTGTAGGTGTGCACCACCATGCCTGACTTGTAGAATATATTTTAACTGAAACATGTCTTTCCTTTAGCTTCCTTATTCTTTAAGCTTCAGTGAATTTATAAGTGGTGGTGGTATTTTGAATGGATTTTAACAGTATGGAGAAAAGAAATGGTTGAAAACCTAGATTGCCTGTGTAGAAAATGAGGTCATGCTAGCAAATTCCCATGTACTTTTAAATGAACTCTTTTGTCATTGTTTGTTACTACCCATTGGTCAGTAAGCTTATTTTTGAAGAGTTGACTGTTGAATATCTTTTTTTTTTTTTTTTTTTTTTTTTTTTTTTTTTGGTCTTTTTGAGACATGGTCTCTATAGCTCCAGCTGGCCTCCAACTCGAAGTAATCCATCTGCCTCTGCCTCTGGAGTGCTAGGATTAAAGACCTGAGTCACCACATCAGCTGACTGTTGAATTCTTGATCTAAAGTTTTTTGTCTTGATTTTTTTCCCTCTTTTTAGTTTTTTGTATGGAATTAGAATTGCCCACATTAGTGCAAATTGCACATCTTCCCAGTTGGACTCTGAATCCTTGCTGGTAAAAATTCTTGCTATACTCTGTACTGTGGATGAATTTCTACTGCCTGGTCAACCTTTATACCATCTTTTAAAAAAATGTTTATTATTTTTATTTTATGTGTATGAGTGTATTCCTTGAATGTATGTGAGTGCACTCATGTCATGCAGTGTCCTTGGAGGTCAGAAGAGGGTGTCCAATTCCCCTGGAGCTGGACTTACAGGTGGGTATTAGCCGCCATGTTGGTGTTAGGAATCAAACCCAGGTCCTCTGCAAGAGCAACCAGTGCTCTTTACCACTGAGCCATCTTTCCAGCTCCTTTATACCATCTTATTCTGCAGTTTTCCTTACTTTTGTTTTATCTTTGGGAATTTTCTTTTCCTTCCCTTCAGAGTTTGTATCCAAATTTTCCTTTTACTACTGTTAATATTTTTCAAGTTTTGGAATCAGCAAAAGAAGAAAATGAAATCTTACCTTACAGGTGTAGGTCCAGCTGGCCTAGAACTCACTGTGTAGACCAGACTGGCCTTGAACTCACAGAGATCTACCTGCCTCTGCCTCCTGAGTGCTGGGATTAAAGGCATGCACCACCACGCCCGGAAGGACTACTAACTTTTGTTAATCTACTTTGATTTAGTAAATATGAGCTGAGGAGCTGGCATTTGAAATTGTATTTTAGGAATACCAAAATAAGTAGAGAGTATTTGTTCCCAAAGATGTAACCAGATAACTATAAGGCAAGGCAGAACAGATAAACATCCAAAGTATTCCCACTTGGAATTAGAAGAACACGTTTCATCTAGTCAGAACATGACAAATTGTTTCATGAAAGAAGCAGCATTTGAAATGCTCTTGGAAGAGGTGGAGATGGACAAGACATTCTAAGTGGAAAGAACACAAACAACACATGTTGTGTCTAACTTAGTTTTGCTAAAATATTAGATGTAAATAAAGAACTCTGGGAACCAATACTAGAAAAATAGGTTGTGAGCATAGTGAAGCTCCAGGTATGCTGGTCTATAGAGTTGGTCTTTAATTTCAGTAGGCATAGGAGCTAAAAAGCAGAAGACTTATAATGAAGAAATTTGCTCTGAAACATAGTTTTACAATAGAAAGTGGTAGTTGCTTAGCAGCTAGTAGAGAATCAATTAGCAGTGAATTCCTGGCTGGGGAGATAACTCAGTAAAGTGCTTCCTCCACAAACATGAGGACCTGGGTTCAATCCCTGAAACTTGAGTTTGATCCCCAGCACCAACATAAAAAGCCATACATGGTAGCATGTGCTTATAATTCCAGCTCTAGGGAGATAAAGACAGGAGGATCCCTGGTATTTACTGGCCAGCCAGCCTAATGCCATCTGTGAGCCCCAGGTCCCAGTGAAAGACCCTGTCTGAAAAAACAAGGTGGGGGCTGAAGGTGATGGCGCATACCTTTAGTCCCAGCACTTGGGGGGTAGAGGCAGGTAGATCTCTGTGAAATTGAGGCCAGCCTGGTCTACATAGCAAATTATAGCCCAGTGGGGCTACAGGGAGACCCTGTCTCAAAACAAACACATAAACAAAAGCAAGGTGAATGACTCGTGAAGAACATGATATCTGAGGTTGTCTCTTGCCTCAACATGTTCACACCCATGCACACCTGTACACACACAAGCCTTTGAACACTGACCCATACCTCTGGGTCTGTGCTAGAGCACCTGCTCAGCATGCACAAGAGCTGGGGTTCAGACACACACACACACACACACACACACACACACACACACACACACACATATGAATGAATGAATGAATGAATGAATGAACATTTTCAGCCCTTTTTCTGTTTTTTTAATTTTTTTTTTTTTGTTTTTTGGGTCAACTCCAGGGCCTTAGGCAAGCATATTAATAGTGAGCTACATCCCTGTTCCCAGCCTTTTTTACCCCTATTTTATGTGCTTTAAAAACAAATGCAAGGGGCTGAAGAGATGGCTCAGCAGTTAAGAGCACTGACTGCTCTTGCAGAGGACCCGGGTTCGATTCCTAGCACCCACATGGTGGCTACGAACCATCCTTAACTCCAGTTCCAGGGGAATCTGCAGCCCTCTTCTGACCTCTGTGGCATTGCACGACACGTTTTTACTCACATACATGCAGGCAATACACTCATACACATACAATAAAAATTAAAAAAAATTTTTTTTAATGCAAAAACAGCATTTATAGAATGGGGTGATAGCTCAGTACTGTGCTTTTCTTGCAAGCATGAGGACCTGAGTTCAATCCCCAGAACACACGTACAGAAAGCTAGGCAGAAGCTGTGTATAGTGGCACTATTCTAGCACTAGGGAGGCAGGCAGATCTCTGTGAGTTTGAAGCCAGCATGGTGTGCATAGCAAGTTCCAGACTAGCCAGAGTTACACAGTGAGACCTTATCTCAACGGAACAAAATCAAACAAAAACAAACTGTTGGGCAGGAGAGGTGGCTCAGCAGTAAAATGTGCTTGCTTGCTTTTCCAGTGGAATGAGTAGCTTACAACCACCTGTAACTCCAGCTGTAGGAGATCTGACATCCTCTTCTGGCCTCCACAGGCACCCGCATCCATCTATGCAAATACACATAAATGAAAAATAAAATATCTTTAAAAAAAAAAGAAGATCTTGGCATGATAGCACATGCTTATAATCCCAGTAGTGGGGAGCTTGAGAAAGGCAAATCTCTGAGATTCTCTTGGCAAGTTCCAGGCCAGTGAAAACTCTTCCACAAAAACCCAAACAAACAAAAAACAGATGCTTACTGGGAAACAGCAACTCAGGCCACATGCACATGTGCACACATACACACCAAAACAGAACCAGCATTTATGAGAAAAGGAATTGTTTTGTGTGTGTATTATAGACTTCTAAAGAACACTAAATGACCAATAAATGGATTTCTAAAGTGTTTTTGATTAGCACATATCATACATGATAATGGGTTCCATTATAACTTTTTCATGTATGTGTGTGATATATTTTGATCATATTCATCTCTCATTGTCATCTCTTATCTTCCTTTCACTCCTGCTGATCCCTTCTTCCCAAGTAGTCCCTCTTCCATTTTCATGTCTTTTTCTTTAAAGACTTACTTATTTTTTGTGTATATGTGTGTGGCTGATTATATATATGTGTACCATGTGAATACAGGGGCAAGAAGAGAGTGGATCTCCTGGAACTGGAGTTACAGGCAGTTGTAAGCAGCCTAATGTGGGTGCTAGGAACCAAGCCTGAAAGAGCCACAAGTGCTCTTAACCACTGATCCATCTCTCCAGTCTCCGTATCTTCTTTTGTAATTGGTGACTAATGAGTTTAATTAGGGCTTGCTTATAGGAGTATGGACAATTACCAGTGGCTATACTGCTGAAGAAAATGTCTCTTCTTCTCCCCAGCAACCATCAATTGCCTGTAGATCCTCAAAGAGGAGCGGCCCCTCCCTTTGGGTATTTTCAAGTATTAAAATTTTTGGAGGCTGGGCACTGTTGTTACATATACCTATAATCCCAACACTTGGAAGACTGAGGCAAGAGGACTATGAGTTTGACACCAACCTGGGCTATGTAGTGAGGCCCTGTCTCAAAAAATAAGCTCATTAGGGGCTTGGAGAGATAGTTTAGTGGTTAAGAGCACTTGCTGCTCTTCTCAGAGGACCTGGGTTCAGTACCAGACACCTAAAACTGGGCAATTCACAACCATCCCTAACTCCAGCTCCAGGGAATCTGATGTGCTCTTCTGGCTTCTATGGGTGCACATATATGCAGGCAAAACATTCATACACATAAATTTTTTAAAACAAATTAATTTCTGTAGAAATGACAGTGCTGTATAATAGTGTAGGAACTTAGTCTACTTAAATATTACTAAATTAGTTGTATATATGCTAAAATTAGAAGAACAGATTTATTCCCAGATCTCTAGTCATTGAAATAAATGATTTATTTTTCACTTTTTTTGAGACAGGATTTCACAGTAGCCCCAGCTGACCTAGAACTCACTATGTAGACCAAGCTGGAACTCACAGACCCACCTCCCTCAGCCTCCTGGGGTCTGAGATTAAAGGCATAAGCCACCATGCGTGGGGGAATAAATGATATTAAACTCTGCAGATACGAACTGTCATTAATTTTACAGAAATAATATGCTTGTGCTATACACCACAACCTTCGTTTGGAAAATGAAACTGAGTATCTATCAACAGCCATAATTGGGGGAAACAGGCAACAGAGTACTTTATACTTCTAGACCTGAAAGGCTGTGTGGTGAGATGTTTGCTTGAGAATTCAAGGCCAGCCGAGTGACTTAGCAAAACTCCATAGGGCTGGAAGAGAAGGAGCATTTGAAATAGTTTCAACTTGCTAATGGTACTGTCAGTATAAAACTGAACTCCCCCCGATCCCCAGCTGGTGTAAAAATTTCATGGTAAGCAATTTAATGCAGCTCCTCCTTATTGAACCTTCTCATTCCCCAGCAGATATCAAAACATGCCAGAATCCTGCACAGTGCTATTAACCACATAACTTCATAGTCCATTAATAGTGATTAAATTGTAGCTGGTTTATGGGAAATGTCTTTCAGCTGCCTTACCAATGAGCTTTAAGCAACTCTTATCAGTGAAGTTTTTAGAGGGAGAGTCATTATAGAGCCCTTAAACTGTTACTTTCTCATACTTCCTTTTTTTCTTATTAATTTTTTAAGTTAGCATATAAAGTAAGAGGCTTCATCAGGCACTTTCATACATGCGTGTCATTATACTTTGTTCTCATTCTTCCGCCTCCCTCACTACCTCCTCCATTGTTTTCTTTGTTTAGAGAATACAACTTCTATAGTTGTGAGCATTTCTAAGATTTATAGATTCCTTACTAGTTTTCATGCATAGCAGCAATCTTGTACCCCAACCCACACTGCTGTTTATGTCAGCAGCAATTAAATTTGATTTATTAATCCCTTGTTACTGCCTCTCCAACTACTCGTTTTTCATTTTTGTAGTGCCTTAGAACTGTTACAGCTGAGCATCATGATGTTAACATCGCCTCAGCCATCTGGCACAGGGCGAGAGGCACCTAGTATGGATTCTTCAGAACATAAAAATTTAATATGAGCAAGATCAGAATGGTATGAGATTAAAAAAAAAAACTAATAAAGAAAACATGAAGAATGCCTGAATGGTAACAAAAATAGAAAAGTCCAGAGAGGTTTAATTTGAATGCCCTGATTTTGCTGAATTAGTATCTGCCATTAGCTTTCTAAAAGAAAGTTATAGTTGTGTTATCAATCTATTCCAAATTAGATGTCATTAGCTAGAGGAACCAGAAGATGGTGGAACCAAAAATAAGCATTATTTTTGTCCTCCTGTGTTCCTTTGTTTTTGGCACATGTGCCTGCTTTTAGGAAATACTTTGTTAGCCAGGTCTGGAGTTGCATGCCTTTATTCCCAAGCACTTAGGAGGCAGAAGCAAGTGGATCTCTGTGAGTTCAAGGCAGCCTGGTCTATATAATGAGTTCCAGTTAACCCTTAGTGAGAACCTGTCTCAAACAAACAAAAACAATATTAATAAAATACTTTGTTGCCAGGCATCAAGACTCAGGGCTATAATCTCAGCACTTGGGTGATAAAAGGCAGAAAGATCAGGAATTGAAGGTTATTCTTTGCTGCATTGCTATATCATGAGTTCTAGGCCAACCTGGACTATATAAGGACTAGGGAGCTAGCTAAGTTGGTACTGATCAAGCATGAAGACCCTTCTTCATTTCCCAGCAACCATGTGAAAAAAGCCAGACGTGGTGTGCGCTTATAATCTCATTCCAGAGAAGCAGAGACAAATGGATCCCTAGGCTCTCTGGCTAATTGGTCTAACCTAATGGTCCCAGTGAGAAACCCTGTCTCGACAAGCAAGGTGGACAGCTACTGAGGAACAATACGTGAAGTCAACTCTGGCCCTCACATAAACACACATGGACATTCCTGCACAGGCAGGAACACACACGCATAAATAACTTTAAAAAAATGAGCTGGAGACATGACTCAGCAGTGAAGAACACTTGCTGCCCAGGTGGTAGCTCCCAGTAGTCTGGGATTCCAGTTCCTGGAGGACAGTACCCTCTTCTGGCCTTCTCAGGCACCAGGCAGGCATGGTGGCACACATACATGCAGGCAAAACACTAAAACACATAAAAAAAATTAAAAAGAAAAATATGTTGTTCATTCTTTTAGATATAAAAAATCATATTCCAGCCACTGTTCATTGTATCTTTGTAGAAAGTCTCACAGTTAGATGTGGTGGTTTATGCCTGTAATCCCAACACTTGGGAGGCTGAACTAGACTTGCCAACCAATCAAGGTTACAAAGTGATACCCTGTCTCAAAAGGGGAGATGGAAGGTTAATTGGTTAAGAATGCATACTAAGCTCTGGAGAGATGACTTGGTGGTTGGGGGCACTGACTGCTCTTGCAGAAGACCCTGGTTTGATTCCCAGTACCCACATGGCGGCTAACAACTGTCTGTAACTCCAGTTCCAGGGGATCTGCCAGCGTCTTCTGGCGTTCACTGTCATTGCATGACTAGGGTGCACTTACATACATGCAGACAATACACTCATACACATAAAATAAAAATAATAAATTTTGTCAGGCGTGATGGCGCACACCTTTAATCCCAGCAGTTGGGAGGCATAGGCAGGCAGATCTCTATGAGTTCAAGGCCAGCCTGGGGCTACAAGGAGACCCTGTCTCAAAAAGACAAAACAAACAAACAAATAATAGATAATTTTGAAAAAAGAATGCATACTGCTTTTGTGGAGAACTAGAGTTCTGTTCCCAACACTGACACCAGTGAGCTCACAACTACCTATAACTCCAGCTCCAGAGGATTCAACACTTCTGGCTTCTGAGGGTGCACACATGTGTGCTCATGTACACATGCATACCCACACTTGTTTGTACCCTTCCACATACTCAATAATTAAAAATAAAAAGAAATTTTAAAAAGAAATTTAAAAAAGAAACAAAAATTAAAAAGTCTCATGGACATTGAGAGTAGTGGGCTACGTATTTAAGGAAAAGATAGTTTGATTCCTAATGTGAGAACTTTATTGTATACTATCTGTTCAGATCTTTTTTTTTTTTTTTTTTTTGGTCTTTTTGAGACAGGGTCTTCCTGTAGCCCCAGCTGGCCTGGAACTCACTATGTAGACCAGGCTGGCCTGGAACTCACAGAGATCCGCCTGCCTCTGCCTCCCCAGTGCTGGGATTAAAGGCATGCGCTACCACATCCAGCTTCAGATTGATTTTTTTAATAGGCGAAATGATTTGTAAGTATGACTGTTCCTTTGCTTAGCACTCTGAGCCTTCTGAATTTGATCTGCTTAGTACCTGTTGAAATTATATTAGTATGGAAGCTGAAAGTCAGCTCCCTACCCACCCCTGGTCACTACTGGTTTTCTGTGTCTGGGTGAGAATGGAGAGCTGTTGACTGATACGTTGGTTCATTAAGTTGAAAAGAATGTAGTTATAAGACCTTTTTCTCAGTGCTTTGCAGTGGTTGTTAATTTCAGGTCCAAAACAAAAAGCCTACTGGAGCATTAATGCACCTGATTTTGTTGTTGCTTGCTGTTGCTTCACATTTCCTTCCATATCTTGCTGTCATGCTTCCTAATGCCTGAGCAGACTGCATCATCAGAGCGTCGAGGAGAGTGGGAAATCCAGCCCAGCCGGCAGACCAATACCTCATACCTGACGTCTCACTTGGCTGCAGACCGCCATGGGGGATCAGTGCAGGTATTTACTGCCTTGTTGTCTTTCCCTGACCTTCCCCCAGCTTGGCTGGTAGAATGCTCTCTTGCTTTTATAGTTTGGGTTCCTTTGAAATGGACACTTACTGCAGGGGTAAGTTTCTTTTGTTTAGTTGATAATCTCTGCTGATTTTCTGCCTTTGTGGACTTGGGTAAGAGTTACTTTTTTAAGATAATTGCTGCTCTTTATCATTGACTAAGAAACATCCATATGATTTCTGATACAGAGTTGCTACTCTACAACTTTGGTCTGCTCTTGGTAATGTACAAAATAACATCAAGGTAGAAGTGTTATTAAGTGTCAAGTGTGTATGTGAGGACCTGTAACTTAAAAAGTGGGGTAGAGTAGCAGAAGACTGCATCTGTAGCTCAGCCCATGATGAGAGGTGATTTAGCACCTAGTAACCTGGGTGTGTTGATTGCAAGTGTTGTTTCTGAGTGGGTGCCCAAGAAGTTGGGCTGTTTCCTTTTTCTCCAGTTTGGTCTTGGAAATTTATTTCTGGTTTTATTTGGGCTAGCTTGAGTTTTTCTTCTCTGTTAAGTACCAGGAACATCTTGTATCTCTTAACTTTTCCTGTATATGACTATTTTAAAATCTTTACCAGACTGGATGTGGTGGTACACACCTTTAATCCTTTAATCCCAGTACTTGGGAGGCAGAGGCAGGCAAATTTCTGTGAGTTCAAAGCCAGCCTGGTCTACATTTCAAGGTCTAAGCCAGTCAGGGCCATAGACAGTCCATCTCAAAAAAAGAAAGAGAGAGAGGGGGGCGGGGAGGGAGGGAGGGCAAGAGAGAGAACAAGAACAAAAAACTCAAAAAAAATTTTAAACCAAGAAAGAAAAATTGAACTATTTTTTTCATACTGGTGACACTACCAGTTGAGGCATATAAATGAACCTTCTGCTCATAAATACATGTTAATATGCTTGATCTTTTAGTACATGCTTTTACAAGAAGTAACTCACTGAAGACCTTGTTATGCACAGGAAATTGTGACACCTTTAGTTTTTTTGTTTTTTTGTTTTTTGTTTTTTTAAAATTATGTTTATTTTATTTATTTATTTTTATTTTATGTGTATGCGTGTATTGCTTGCATGTAGGTAAGTGCACCTGTGACGTGTAATGCCCGAGGAGGTCAGAAGAGGCTGTCGGATCCCCTGGGACTGGAGTTACGGACAGTTGTTAGCTGCCATGTGGGTGCTGGGGTTTGAACCTGGGTCTTCTGCAAGAACAACCAGTGTTCTTAACCGCTGAGCCATCTCTCCAGCCCCCGACACCTTTAGTTTTATAAAGTACTTCCTAGAAACATCTAGGTAAAAATGAAGAATTGAATGCATAGATTTGCTCTATTTCTTCTTAAAAAAATAAATCTTTTTAAAGGTATAGGTCCATAGAAGGATGGATAAATGGGAGGCAATGGGAACAAAATGTTTGAAGTTGAAAGGCAGGTGGTAAATAGATGATAGATGTTCCAAGAAAATTCAGTCTTGGCATGTGACCCTCAGGATTTCCCCAAAGGCTTAGGATTGGCCTTTAAGTTGAGGAGGGGAAGCAGGGTGTGTACTACAGAAAATTGGCTGGAAGTCTGAGAAGGCAGAGATGCCCAGGTCTCCCTTTTCCCCATCAGAGACTAAATGTTCTCTGGAGAGAGCAATAGTGGGTTTCTGGCCAAAGGGATGTGAGATAACTCAATGGTACAAGGCTGAAATGAGGGAGAACCAGTGAATGGTGTACTTACTGGCTGCTTGCTTCTCCCATGTAGTGCTTTAGAAAGCCAATGGCTAAGTATGGGTGTTCCAGGCAGGAATTGAAAGAATATGCCCTGGGAAATATGACCAGCATGAGAGAAAACATGTGAAGATACTGACAGCAGGGCTCCCCCCATTGAAATGGCAGCACAGTCTCATTCCACAATGTGGTCCAGATAGGGTCTTATTATATAACACTGGCTGATCTGGAACTTGCTGTGTAGACCATGCTAGCCTCAACCCTACAGAGTTCTGCCTGCCTCTGCCTCCCAAGTTCTTGGATTAAAGATGTACACTACCATGCCTGGTTCTCCATCCCCCTTTAACTTTTTTTTTGATATATTTATTTTTATTTTATGTATATAAGTGTCTTACTTGCATGTATGTAAGTGTACCACATGTGTGCAGTGCCCATGGAGGCCAGAAGCAAGTGTCAGATCTCCTAGAACTGAAGTTATAGGTAGTTATTAGCTGGTATGTGGATGCTGGGAACCAAACCTGAGTCCTCTGCAACCACTGAGCCATCTCTCAAGCCCCATATCCCTCCCCCCCCTTTTTTTTTTTGGTTTTTTTTTCTTTTGAGACAGGGTCTCCCTGTAGCTACAGCTGGCCTGGAACTAACTATGTAGACTAGGCTGGCCTCCATCTCACAGAGATCTGCCTGCCTCTGCCTCCCAAGTGCTGGGATTAAAGGCATGCACCACCACCATGCCTCATTGTGAGAGATCAGAACACTGAAGACCAAAATAAGATAACTTCATTGGGCATGGTGATGCATGCCTTTAATCCCAGCACTCAGGAGGCAGAAGCCAGCAGATCTCTGTGAGATCAAAGATCAAGGCCAGCCTGGTCTGCAGAGTGAGTTCCAGGCCAGCTGGAGCTTACAGGAAAACCCTGTCTCAAAAAGACCAAATAACAACAACATCAACAACAAACTTTTCAGAAAGACAGTTATGTGCAAAGAAAGTTGCTGAGTATGGTGGAGCAAACCTTAACCCCCAGCACTTGGGAGGAGAGAGGCAAGTGGGTCTCTGTGCTTTTGGGATCACCGTGGCCTGCAAATTTCAGGCCAGCCAGACATACATAGTTGAGACCCTGTCCCAAAAAAATGCAGCTTGCGTGCCACCCTCCCCACATCCTTTGACCTCCATACAGGTACCATGGCATACACACATGCCACTGTCATCATGCACACAATAATAACAAATCTTTTGTTTTAAATCTATCCTTTCCCACCCTTGTCTACATAGTGAGTTCCAAGCTAACTGGGGTTACCCAGAAAGACCCTGTCTTTGGGAACTGGAGAGATGGTTCAGTGGTTAAAGCACTTCCTTTTCTTGCAAAGGACCCAGGTTTGGTTCCCAGCACCCAGTTCCAGGGGATTCAATGCCCTTTTCTGACCTTTGTGGGCACTGCATGTACCTGTGCACCTACCGACTTGAAAGCAAAACACTCAATATAAATAAAATATTAAAAACTTAAGAAAAAATCCTGTCTTTTTTCTATCTTTAGTGTTGAGGTATAATAAAGATAACCTAATATAAGCTTAAGCTTGAGGGTTAAGAGAAAAAAGATGGCTGACATGATGGCTCAATGAGAGGCCTACTGCTAGGCCCCAGGAGCTGAGTTCAGTTTCTGGACCCACAGTGGTGAAAGGAGAAAAACAGACTCCCATGGGTTGTCTTCAGACTTCCACATATACTCCATGGCACTTGTGTGCCCCATCCCCCACACTAAATAAATAAAATAATTTTAGAAAGAAATGGGGGCACTCAGAAGGAAAGCAAGACACCTAAGAGAACATTATGTGGGCTTCTCTAAGAGACTTACCAGGATCCTGTCTTTAAAAGAATGTCAACTAAAAGATTTTTAAACTTCTGGTACATTTTTATTGAAGCTACAAAAGGATATGTGTTATCAGAGCAAGTGAAGAAACCAAAAAGAAGCATGTTGGATCTAGGAAATCAGAGCTACAGCCCAAGAAGAAAGGGACTCACCAATATAATATGAAGTTAGGAGATCCCAGGGTGACAGCTGTATGCCAGTGCAAAGGGACAAGCTGCACCAAACAGGTGATCAGGAACTGGAGGAGCAATTTCATCAAAATAATGAAAACAGCCAGGATACTGTGATATGTCACAATATCTTGAAAGAAGCTTTTGAAGCAGATGACAGAGACCTGGGGGTATAGTTCAGTGTAGACTGTATAGCATGCATACAACCCTGGATTCAATCCCCAGCACTTAAGTGAATGAATGAATGAATGAATGAATGAATGAGACTTTGTGGTACAATGAATAACAATGTATGAAAATTCAGCTAATACGTAAAGATTGGTTTATTTTGATTTTAACTTTAACTTTTAGTTGTTTTGAGACAGGCTTATATGGCCCAAGCTGGCTATTCACCTACTCTTCCTACCTCCACCTCTTGAGTGATGAGATTATAGTCATGTACCACCACACTTGGCCAAGGCTATGCTTTTGCAAGCCAAATCAGTAATATCTTTCTAGTACAACAGATGCCTACGTTTTTTTCATTTTTCTTTTTTTTCTGCTTTTTTCTTTTGGTCTTTTTGAGGCAGGGTCTCCCTGTAGCTCTAGCTGGCCTGGACTCACTATAGAGACCAGGCTAGCCTCAATCTCATAGCAATCCACTTGCCTCTGCCTCCCAAGTGCTGAGATTAAAGGCATGCACCACCACACCTGGCTGTTTCTCTTTCCTCAAAATATTACCTTTTAAAAAATATTTTATTTTATTTTATGTGTATGAGTGTTATGCCTGCATGTAGGTAAGTGTACCCGTGTTGTGCAGTGCCCGCAGAGGACAGAAGAGGCTGTTGGATGCCCTGGAAGTGGAGTTACAGACAGTTGTTAGTTGCCACTTGGGTGCTGGGATTCGAACCCAGGACTTTTGCAAGAACAGTGTCCTTAACTGCTGAGCCATTGCTCCAGCTCCAAAAAAAAAAAACCACTACTATTTATATGATGTGTATGAGTGTTTTGCCTGCATGTAGGTAAGTGCACCTGTGTGTGCAATGCTGGTGGAGGTCAAAAGGAGGAGTCAGAGCCCCTAGAACTGGAGTAAGGGACAGTTGTTAGCTGCCATGTGGGTGCTGGGAACCAAATTCTTCTGCAAGAGCAGCTCAATGCTCTGAGCCATCTTTCCATCCCGTTTTTCTCTTTTTGAGGCAAGATCTCTTTGTATATCCCACACTGGCCTTGAGCTTACAGTCCTCCTGCCTCTACTTTCTGAGTATTGGGATTACAGTGGTGACCACCTTGCCTGGATAAACATTTCTGTGTTATCTCACTTTGCAGAGGCAATATGATGAAATCATGCTTAGCTTGACCTGGATGATGTGCAACACCATCTCCCTTGGATGGAGTGCAGAATACTAAGATGAAGAGTTTGTCCTGCTGTGTGGGCATTTTGTTTCAATCCTATTTAATGGACAAGACTCCCTGGTCCCTTCCTGTCCCATCCTTCCAGTGCTTTCAAAGATCTTCTGTATGTGAAGGCCTGAATTAAAGAAGACAAAACATAGGGAGGTGTGGTGGTATACACCTTTAGTCCCAGCACTCAGGAGGCAGAGGCAGGTGGATCTCTATGAATTCAAGTCCAGCCTGGTCTACAAAGCAAGTTCCAGGCCAGCTGGGGCTACAGGGAGACCCTGTCTCAAAAACAAAACAAGTTTTTAATAAAAAAGAATTATAATAGAACTGAAAATCACAGTGATTTTGTGACTCTTCCATCTGTAAACTTCAACTTTTTTATTTGCTATCCTCTCTCTCATGTCTATTTTGAAAATTTCAAATCTACAGAAAAGTTGGGCATATCCTTAACCTAGATTAGCATTAAGATTTTACCAGAGTTGCTTTAAGGCTTTAAGTCTCTCTCTCTCTCTCTCTCTCTCTCTCTCTGTGTGTGTGTGTGTGTGTTGTATCTTTGCTTTTTAAACCATTTGAAAGTTGGAAACATCATACCTTATCTCCAAATACTTCACCTGCATCTCCTAAGAGTAAAGACATTCTCTCATGTAAGTAATAACACAATAATTCCCATAGTATATAACAGTCTGAACTCCAGTTATCTTTCAAGTTTAGTGTCCAGAATCTAACCACGATTCATGTATTCCACTGGTTGTTTGCCTTTTCTTTCTTTTTCAATCCCTTAATCTGTTTTGTTTATTGTGAGACAATCTTACTATGTGGCTCGAGCTAACCTACAACTCCCTAGGTTGCCCAAGCTCTCCTGCAGCTCATGGTGATCTTCCTGCTTCTGCCTCCTGAGGGCTGGAATTATGGGCCTGTACCACCATGCACAGTTCCTTAGTCCCTTTAGTACCATTTAATCAATGTCTATCACTAGCAATTTTGTGACACGTCCTTTCTGAAGAGTCCGGATCAGGCTATCTTATCAAAAAGTCTTGTATTTTAGATTTTTCCAGTTTTAAAAATCATGATTAGATTCAGAAGAAACCATTTTTGCAGGGAGGGAAGAATACTATGTTGTATAATATTTATGTTCAGAGATAAAGTTAGGCTGTCCATTAATCAGAGATACTAAGTTTAATCACTAGCAGAAATTTGGGTCTTCCTTGGATAAGTTTAAATTTAGAATTATAGGTTTGGGGCTTTTTTCCACCCATTAACCATATATCATTTCTGTAATTTTCTTTTTCTTTTTTAAAATATTTTATTTATTATTTTTATTTTATGCCTGAGTGTATTGCCTGCATGTATGTAGGTAGGTACACACATGTCATGCAATGCCCAAGGAGGTCAGAAAAGGGCATTGGATCCCCTGGGACTGGAGTTATAGATGGTTGTTAGCTGGGAATCGAACCTGTGCCCTCTTAACTGCTGAGCCATCTCTTCAGCCTCTCATTACTCTAATTTTCTTTATTTTATTTTATTTTATTTTATTTTTGAGACAGATTCTCACTACACAACACTGGCTGGCTTGGAACTCAGTATATAGACCAGACTAGCCTTAATTTTGGAGATCCACCTGCTTCTACCTCCCCAGTGCTGGGATTAAAGGTGTGGACCACCATGTGAAATTTTTTCCCCTCTCTGTCCCTTCTCTCTTTCTCTTTCTTATCTTTTTTTTTTTTTTGAGACAGGATCTCCCTGTTGGTCTAGTTGGCTTAGAACTCACTATGTAGACCTGGCTGGTCTGGATCTCACAGAGATCTCCAGCCCTTAATTTTCTTAATCATGTGTTAGTAAAAAGAAAAAAGCAAAGCCTAATAGCATGTGCCTGTAATCCCATCTCTGTGGAGGCAGGAGCAGTGCCATGAGTTTGGGACCACCTTGGGTTGTATAATGAGTATCAGGTTAGGGCTACAGAGTTAGGCCCTGGTCTCAAAAGACAAAATGAAAAGCATAACAAAAAGCTGGTAATTCTGGTGTAGAAATAATGGTAGTTGCTAGGTGTGGTAGTCCAGTTCATTAATCCAGCACTCAGGAGACAGAGGCAGATGGATCTCTGTGAGTTTGAAGCCAGCCTGGTCACACATAAGTTCCAGGCTAGCCAGTGTTACACAATGAGACTCTGTTCAAAAAAAAAAAAAGGAGAAAAGGAGGTTATACATTGCTGGTAAATCTGTCTGTGTGCCCCAAAATCTATTTACAGTAAACATTTCCTCCCACCTTTCTTTTTATGATACCCAAGGAGTTTTTGAAGATTAACTGCTAGTAAAGAATCCCATAGCTATAGGTTAATAAGAATAAATGCTTGTGGAAGGAGAATATCAGTAAGTTGACCATTTATTGAGCCATTGCTGTCTATCATGGCTCTGGGCTAAGCACTTCTTGTGGCTTATCTGTACAATGACCCCTATTAGATAAGCAGCATTGTTTCCCCATTTTACAGACTGGGAAGCTCAGGTACAGAAAGACTGAGGACTTTGCCCAAGGATCCACAGCAACTAAGTGGTAGAGCTGGAGTTCAAACCCATGTCTGCCTAATTCTAGAACCCAGTTCTTTCTTACTGTTTGTTTCTTCTTCCATTATTTTGTATGAGGTATTATACCTGATACTATCCCCTCCATTTTTTATATAATCCTCACATCAACCTGTAAGAAGTCTCAAATAGATGAAGTTACTTACCCAAGAACATAAGCTATCCGAACCATTTATTCTATTTTGTGGTTCTCTCCCATGTTTCAGCCAAGGTCTTTTTAACAGCAGAGTGGTTTGGCGGGGTTCCTTTTCACACTCCCCAGCACCCACATAAGCAGAAATCATGTGCTGGAAATGAAACCAGGTGGCAGAAGCAGCTGCACCAGCAAGACAAGCCTAATCGGGTCCACATTAACCAGATGACAGGAATGAGAGCCTTCACTTACAGTTCGGGGACCATCAGTGAGAAGTGAGATGACAGTGAACCTGAAATAAGGGCCATTGAAATAAGACTGGTTTTCCAAGGGAAAGTTTTTACTTACCGTCTTCCCTCTCACCAGAGAGGATGTAGCAGTCTTGTTATTTGAATAACTTCACACCAGTGATCAAAGCCGTGAAGAAATTTCTGAAGGAAAGTGTGATTATTTATAGTTTCTGGTGCCCACTCTTGGTTTCTTTTTCAGAATTTATTTTTAAGCCATCATTACCACAACTATATTATTATAATATATAGCATAAAAAACTGAGAGGAGTAAAATTTACCCACAGTGATCAAGGGGTAACAGCTATGCAGTTATTTTTAATACAGTACTGCTTGCATTTTTAAAATATGAAAGAATCTGTGTTTAGGACAAACACAGATGGAAGTCTGGAAATCCACAGACCCTAACTTAGCCCTTGATTAAGTCATTTTGTAGTGTTATCACTCTAAAAAAGAATAATTGAGGGGAGGAGGAGCCATAAGATGACTCAGTGGGTAAACTCACTTGCTGCCAAGCCTGATGTCCAGAGTTCAATCCCTAGGACCCACACAGTAAAGGGAGAGAACCAACTCCAACAAGAAGCTATATGCTATAGCACTTGAGGATGTGTCCATCCCATTTCCCCTCCACATACATACTCATAATTTTTTTTTTAATTGGGCCACCGGGCATGGTAGTGCATGCCTGTAGTCCCAGCACTTGAGAGGCAGAGGTGGGTGGATCTCTGTGAGTTCAAGGCCAGCCTGGTCTACATAGTGAGTTGTAGGACAGCTTGGGCTACAGGAAGATCCTGTCTTTCAAAAAAGACAAAAAACAAAAACAAACAAACAAACAAAACCTAAAAATTAAGTGATCGGGCCAAGGAAAATAGACCAGTAGATAAAGTACTTGCCATACCAACATGAGGACCTGACTTTAAGCCCCACAACCCATGTTTTCCTTTTTGTTTGTGTTTTTAAAAAAGCTAAGGGAGCCGGAAACACAGTTCAGTGGTTAAGAGTACTGGCTGCTTTTGCAGAAAACCCAGGTTCAGTTTTCAGGACCCACATGGCAGCTAACAACTATCTGTAACTCTAGTTCTGGGGGTTCCGAAACCCTCTTCTGATCTTTGTGGGCATTTCATGCATGTGGTGCACTTCCATACATACACATAAAAATACTAATTAATTTTTTAGAAGCTAAGGATAGTGGCTTGTCTCTTATAATCCCAGTGCTGAGGATGCAGAGACTGGTAAATGCCTGGGTTTCACTGGCCAGCCAGCTTAGCCTAATCAAGTTGTGTGTCCAAGTCAGAGACCTTGTCTCAAAAAATAAGGTGGACCTCTCCTGACAAATGACACCAGGGTTCACTGCTGGCCTCCATATATGTGCATCCTCACACACGTGCACATTCATACACACACAGATAATCATGATACATTAAACAAGGGGTTTGTGAGGATTCAATTTATATACATGTATAGTGTAGTAGAGTGCCTAGCACAAAGTAGGCATTCAATATGGAAGTAACTCATCATTATACGATTATATCATTGAATTAAGTGTTCTCACATTATATGGCCTAGGAATTCTCCCCAAATTAGGATAGTGACCCCTTTACTCAAGAAGACAAACACACTAAACCATGCCTAGCTAACACTTAAGTTTAAAGCAAACTCTCCTTTAATATGCTGTGGTGGTAACCATGGTGCTTATTACAGTCTCTCTGTTTCAGGTGGTTAGCTCAACCAATGGAGAGCTGAACGTTGATGATCCCACTGGAGCCCACTCCAATGCACCAATTACAGCTCATGCCGAGGTGGAGGTAGTGGAGGAAGCTAAGTACGTTCATCTTTCAAAGGGGTTCTTGAGTCATGGGTTGAAAAGTATCTTTTCTGTCTCTGTGTGCTGCTCATCTCAGACTGGATTCCTCATGCTTGTATCTACAGCTTTCTTCTTTTGACCATTTTATTTTTGCATGGTGCTTTAAGACTACTGCCACCCTTCTTTAGCTCCAATTTCTAGAAAGATAGTTACATTTTCCTAGCCTACCTAAGGCAAAAGACATAGCAAACTAAAAGAATTCTGTAGATATAAGTAGTAGCCATGAATTTCTTGGGACTCTGGAACTTCTTGCTCCTTATAGGTTAAAGAGAAAAGAGTACTTTTAAACCATGGGCTGCTATGTATGAATATTAAATTTCCTAACAATTCTATATGTATGGTCCTGAAAAAAGGGGTTTCAGGGACATTTTGCTGTCTTTTAGACTTTCTGGACTTAGAAAAACTAAAGTTAAGCAAGACAAATAATCTGTGCCTATAAATAAGAGAATTTCAGGACAGTAAAGAAGTGTCATTACTCCCAAGAAAGCTTGGTGGTTCCTCATTTCCTTTTCTGCTTCTCTTGCATGTGTATGTCTTCCCTGATGTCTCATCAGCCCCATAGTGCTCTCTGCATGGTCTATGTTTAAACTCTTAGATTCTGGAGTGGAAGGTGATGCTGTTTCTGCTATGAAAGCAGCATTTCTACTCCTTTCCCTTTTTTCCCTCCATCCCAAACCTCAGATCCAGAATTAAATTACAAGAAGACACAGGTGAGAATAGAGAATCATGAGTCAATAACTACTCCCAGCCCTGACATAGATGACCTGTCTTATAAGCTCTTTGACAACATTCATGATGTCCCAATAATTTGTTCTCTTGTGTCCTACTTGGTCTCTTGAGGATCTAGATATCCTCAGTACAAACCAGGACATGCTTACACCTCTGGGTGTCAGTCAGGGCTTCAAGAACTATATTCTCTTTTCCGGATGCACTTCGAATCAATGTATTCCTGCCCATCTATTTGGTGAGCTAACTTGGTGTTCAAGAGGTCTTTTCCTACTTAACAGATAAAAGAGCAAATGAGGATGACTTGAACTCTATCCTGTTGAGCCCTTGCTGCTTGTAGGCAGGGAAAGTGGGAGGGTGATGCCAGCAGGAGACCATATTTAGTATTTAAACATTTTAATGATGTTCATAATTTTTGTTGTCATTCTCAAGAGACAGTATGATATTCCCACTTTATGAGCTTTCAACCTTGGTTGCTCTTTGGAATCACTTGGAGTATGTTAGAAAATTTAGATACTTGGCCAGGCATGGTGACGCATGCCTTTAATTCCAGCACTCAGGAGACAGAGGCAGGTGGATCTCTGTGAGTTCAAGGCCAGCCTGGTTTACATAGTAAGTTCAGGCCAGCTGTGACTACAGCAAGACCGTCTCAAAAAGACAAAAAAAAAAAAAAGAAAGAAAGAAAGAAAATATAAATTCTTTTCCTTTCCTGGCCTCAGAGATTTTGATTTAGCATTTTGGTATCTGGCCTGAGGATGAAAATATTTAAAAACAGGAAATTCTGATGTGTAACCAGTGTTTGGAGCTGCTGTACTATACATGCTCTGATCCTGAAAAATAGCCATACCTTTTCCCCACTCAGTTCACATATATAACTATACTTTTTAGAAGTTCAGCTCTGGATTTAGTCATATGGATCACCAAGATCATATGGACTTTAGTCTTAGGCCCTATACAGATTTATTTTTGGACCAATTAATTTTGTTTCATCTTGATAAATGTGTACACTAACTGTATATGTGAATGTGGTGTTTGTGTCCTACGTGAACAATAAGGGGCCATTCATATAAAAAGCAGTCAATTTGGTATATTCTGTTCTGACATACTCTGCACTCTTAGACCATTAAGTCTTCATATTTAACAAAAATAGGACTGCTAAACCTCTTGCTTCCAGCTCCAGGTTTGAGCTTTCTGAACAATGTGGAAACCAAAAGGAGAAGTTGTAGGTCACCTCAAAAGCTGTGATTTGGGTCACTTTGTGTGGTGATTTCTCTAGTGATTTCATGAGCTACCAGTTCATCTTGCGTAGGGAATTGTTGGAGCTCAACCATGTTTAATTTGTATATGAGGCTAAGGACACAGTAACTGTGTCCAATTACTCCATCATGTTCATAGGAAACAACCCCTCACTGCATGCAGCTGTGATGCCATTTGTTCATGAAGCCTGTTTTGGGGATAAGAAGGACTGTTGTCTCTCATTTCTGTTCAACTCAGGTATTGAGAAAGTAGGAAACATTTACTTTCAAGTTTTCAATCTTAGGTTCCTCTCCCAGCTTATTTTATGAAGATGAAGAATGAAATCTCAGGATATTAGCTTCTGTTCAGTGTACAAAATGAACCCTTGACTTCCCTTTTCTTCTGGCTACAAAGCATCTTTGTTTGAAGTATGGTTGGAAGAGTGGTGAGGACAGATGTTTTGATTGATTTTTGTGATAGGAAAAATATAAGCTAGGTATGACAGCATGTGCCTTAAATTCCAGCACTCAGGAGACAGAGGCAGGTAGATCACTGTTAGTTTGAGACCAGCCTGGTCTACAAGATTCCAGGCCAGCCAGGACTATATAATGAGATCCTGTGTCAAAAAAAAAAAAAAAAAAATTGGCTATATCTTAACAAATGTGGACCTGATTTCTCCTGAGAATTAATGTGAATTTAAGCCCTTCTCTGGCAGCTATACCTAGACCAGTGACTTCCTTCTGTTTCGTCTTCTGATTAGATATCTAATATCTCTTTTTCTACCTCTAAGAAGAGCTAAGTGCTAGCCTCTTTGGTCAGACATGTTGGGCTTACAGAAAGTTAGGGACTTCTTTTTTAGTTGGAATATGAAGGTTAGGTCAACATTGTACAAGACTTGATTTGGGAACCAAGCGGCTCAGCCTTGGTGCTTGACTGAGCTTTTGTAGGCAGAGTCATTTGCTCCTTCCTGGAAATTGCCCAGGAAAGCCTATCCTGAGTCTTGACCAGATCTTTCTGTTTTGTATTTTCCCTGAGATCCAGCTCCCACCTTGATGCTTCTGTTAGGTCCTTACCTTTCCACTTTAATGTGGGGACCAAGTGCCTGCCTGCCCTACCTCAACAGGAAGAAACTAAACATAGACACATACTGCATGTTTGCATGGCTCACAGGGAGTCGTTTCTATCTCACCTGTGGACTAATCTCTCTCTCTCTCTCTCTCTCTCTCTCTCTCTCTCTCTCTTCCTTTCTATGTTTTTCTCTTTACATACTCTGTAGCTGCCTGAAAATGCTCAACTTGTGGTGAGTCCCTCTCTCCAGTCCACATGTAAGGGGAGTGGACCAAACTAGACTGGGATTGGCAACAATGCCCCCCCCCCCAAAAAAAGGCCTTAGAAATACTGAATGGCTTCCATATACCTCCTTATGCCTTAGCTACCCCTACTAGGGAAGTCGATTCACAAGGTGGGGATGGGGAAAGCCAGTACCCAGAAATCAATTTGTTCCTTCTTTCCTTTCAAATCCACCTCATTTATCGCTTCTTCTTCCTACCAAAATAATATCCCACAATATCCAAACTTAACTCCTTTTTCTTAAGCTGAGTGAATTTTCTCCCAAATCATGACTGGATATTATCAGAGGGAGAAGGACTGAGGTTAAGAAGACAAGGTTTTTGGTATCTTCATAACCATGATGGCAGTGTTGTTGCCGGATAATCTCACCTTTTGGCAACTTGACTTGTAATGTGGAAATGGGCTGTTTGGAAAAAAATTTTTGACTTTCTTTTTAATTCAGCTACTTTTTTTCATCTATAAAGTAAGAGTCTCTCAAAAAAGAACTCCTTGGGGGAAAGATGGACATTTTGTTGTTGATTGGGCGCTTTTTTTTTCAACTGTCTTTATTCTTTGAAGAGAGGATAGTGAGCCTATGGCTTACTTGGCTGACAGAGCTATAGGAGCCTATCTTTTCTTCTCCTAGAAAAGGCTCCTTTCTTAGGGCTGTATGGGAGTGTGGAAAGAAAAGCCCCTAAAAATTCATGTTGGTGACTGTCTCCCACACTGTCTGCACAGGTACGGTCATGTTCTATAACAGCCTTTTTTTTTTTTTTTTGGTTTTTTTGAGACAGGGTCTCCCAGTAGCCCCAGCTGGCCTGAAACTCACTATGTAGACCAGTCTGGCCTCGAACTCACAGAGATCTGCCTGCCTCTGCCTTCTGAGTGCTGGGATTAAAGGTGTGCGCCATCATGCCTGGCTGATAATTGGGTTTTATGACAACAGGATTTGTAGTCTCGGTGTTTCAAAGAGTACATTCATTTTGCAAACACGTGTCTGCGTAATCTAATGTTGTCGTGGTCTATTTTTTCATGTGAGGTGTTAGTCACATGATCCTAATTGCAAATATTTGTGGTCCTACTATCTTTATCCAATGTGTGCTTTGAACTCAGGGACAGGGCTATGATGAGTGGAGGGGAGGTCATGCCTAAAGAGCTTAGGTGCCATGTAGGTGGAAAGTAAGTCATACAAATGTGAAAGGACAAGAAATTCTCCAGAATTCTTACAATATCATTCCCAGAAGGCTGAGAGGGAAAGCAGTCACTGAGTTGTCAAAGAAGACTTCTTAGACACATCAGGGAGTGAGCCAAGTATTAGAGCAAAGGAGGAATGTGTAAGTACAGTAAAAAGAAAATAAGGAAATAGCTAAAAGAAGGGAGCACTGACATAGTTCAGGAGTGATATGAAGAACTGGTAGGACAGAGGCTTGTGGGAAGAACATTTGATGGTATCTGAGTAGAGTCCTGAGCAGTTTTGACTATAGCATGTTAACAGCTTTTGGTCATTTAAATGACCAGAAGGGTCTCTTAAGGCACAAGAGGGAGTTGATCATTTGCCCTATTCTCTTCTGAAAATAGCATATCTCTTTGGAGTTAGTCATTATATTTGGTCTAGAGTCTAGCCCAGTTTGGTGGGCCCTGTTGCTGGTAATCACCGCAGAAGCCAAAGACTTTAAGGGTAGATTGGAGCAGGGGGAGCTGGAGAGATGGCTCAGCAGTTAAGAGCACTGGCTGTTCTTGCAGAGGACCTGGGTTTGGTTTCTAGCACTCATGTGGTAGCTGTCAACCATCCATAACTCTAGTTCCAGGGAATCCAATATCCTCTTCTGACCGCCACCAGCATTGCACGACATGGGTACATTTACATACATGCAGACAATACACTCATACACATAAAATAAAAAGAATATTTTGGTTTTGGTCTTTTTTTGAGACAGGATCTCCCTGTAGCCCCAGCTGGCCTAGAACTCTCTATGTAGACCAGGCTGGCCTCAAACTCACAGAGATCCGCCTGCCTCTGCCTCCTGAGCGATGGGATTAAAGGCACACACCACCATACCCAGAAAAATAAAAATAATAAATTTTCTTTTGTCTTTTTGAGACAGGGTCTCCCTGTAGCCCCAGCTGACCTGGAACTCACTATGTAGACCAGGCTGGCCTTGACCTTGCAGAGATCCGCCTGCATCTTCCTCCCAGGTGCTGGGATTAAAGGCGTGCACTACCACACCCGGCTAAAAATAATAAATTTTTAAAAAATAAAAGAGAAGATTGTAGGGCCTCCTTCCTTATTGGTAGAATTAAAAACTTCTACTGCTGCTGAAGCTGTATAGGTACTAACAAAAGTTAACCTAGAGTTATGATTTTCCTCTGAACCAGAGCATCCACTCTTGTCCATTCAAATGACTCAGCATAGTGTTCTAGGTTATAGTGTGCTGCTAAGCAGGTGTTAATTCACATGAATTGCCTTGGAGGAAGCAAAAAAAGAATTCTGGACACTGAAATGGGCCCAGCATTTCAATTCAATGGGCCCAGAATTTTTTTTTTACTATTATCATTTTTATTTGAACACACAAAAATCATCATCTTGGGATCCTCCACACAGAGTAAGAGCAGATATTAATTTAAGAGCCAGCAAAGCCTCTGGAGAGTGTAGTTAAGAGGAAAGAGGTAGGATGGTTGAAATACTGGTTCTTAAAATTTGATCTGCCTACTTAAATAAATTAACTTCTGGACATTCAACTTGGAAAATGTGCATAATATGTATGTATAAATATCTTTTTTCTTGAATTCTTCCCCAGTATTTCCACTGAAGTCTATTTAAAGCAATAAGAACTATTGAACATTTTTATTTGAAAGAATTCATTTTATTTCCAGCTATATATGACACTTTAGTTCATGCTTTTTAGTAGTACTTATAAATGTCATTGATATTCCATGGGGAGAAGGGGTATACATACGCACCTGTGGGTGGGCACCAGTGGGGAAAAATTTACCCCCTGCAGTAAGCAGAAGCATGCAGAGCTTTGCTAGAACTTGGAAGCTCCTAGCGCTGGCTTACAATGTTCTGGTGGTCCATTTAATTTTTGAGATGTGGTCTCATATAGCCCGGGCTGGCTTCAAACTTGCTATGTAGCTGAGAATGACCTTGAACTCGTGATCCTTCTTCCACCTCTTGAGTGTTGGTATTACAGGTATATGCCACCATGCCCAAGTCTTGGAGAAAACATGTTAAGACCCTTCTAAGAAACTCTGGTCTCAAATATCTATGTTTCATTCATGTGGTTATAGGTAAAGTTCATCACTATCTATGTAACTTTACTTCTACATTCAAAGAAACTCTCAAACTGGGTACAGTGGCACAAACCTATAATACCAGCACTCTGGAAAGCTGAGGCCAGAGGATTGTACATTTAAACCCAGCCTTGCTATATAATAATGAGTCCTTGTCACGGAAAGAGAGAGGTTGGGGGAGAAACTTTCTCCACATTCTAAAAATGGAAACATTAGCTATAGTAATACATTGGGATCTAAAAAGAGAGGGAATGTTGGCTACATTGGAGAACTTAGGAGTATGGGAAGTAAGCAATAGTTTATTTCTATATGAATATTCATTGCATTAAAACCTGGAAGGAGGGGCTGGAAGATGGCTCAGTAGTTAAGAGCACTGGCTGTTTTTGCAGAGGACCCAGTTTTGATTCCTAGCACCTACATGGTGGCTGAGAACCACCTGTAGCTCCAGTTCAGTGGATCCAGTGATGCCTTCTGGCCTCCTCAGGCTTTACACAACATGGGTGCACTTATATACATGGCAAGCAAAGCACT